GTGCTTCAGACCCTTTTACACTTTAAGAAGTGCGAAAAAGGTTGCATGGAGGTTCTGCTTAACTAGATCCCCCCTTTAAACTAAGAGCCACAAGCTGATCTGAAAGCCTGATAGGAAGGGGCCACACAAGACGGACAGGGACTCATGGAGGACCGGCAAGACTGGGGTTCTGAAAAGTGGGCATGTACCCAAGTCGGATGTTTGTAGAGGTCCAAATTGTGAACATGCTTTGAGGGGTGTTGCTTGAATGCTTTGTGGGGGTTGGGCAGTCCAAGATACACACATGGGGTCTCACATGGACTTTTTGTGAGTTCAAATGAGCAAAGGCGCAGGCAGGGGTCCTGCCTAATAAGGGAAGTAGGGTAATGATTTGAGGCCTGGTACACATTAGAGGATATTAAAAGAGCAGTTTTAATCACTCAAGCTTTAAACTGGACCTCTTAATGTTTGTTCTAATAGTCAGAATTGACATGTTTCATTTGCACCAGATAAAAAGAGTTCCTGAAATATTATTCACACACATTTAGTGTATAATATGAATTCTATATATTCTACACTGAAATAAGTCTCTAAATAAACAGCTAAACTACAAGGGGAAAAAGTGTAGGGTGAAATTATAAGACCTGATTTTGCCCTTAAGCAACCCTTTACACTTAGTAAGAAAACTTTGTTCCTTACAGCTAAATACAGTTACAATTTAGAGCCATATTCAGCAAACAGCTGGCCAACCCAACCATCTGATCTGGCCATCCACAACATCTACATTAATGTACATTCACTTGCACCTGGCCCAGATTTTACAGTAAAAACACAGTCTAGATTTCAGCCTCTCACCACGTCTGTGGAGGCCAGTGGAAATACAAGGGTGAGCAGGAGTGCAGTAATTGCAAGAGATGCACCAGTGTGTGTGTGTGTCTGTTTATGTGTGTGGGCCACCTGCATCCTGCAGGGCAATTCCTGCCCTGCATTAACGGGAACAGATAAGTGGTACTGTAGCATAAAGTGATGAATGAGTGGGAAAAAACACAGCTCCAAAAAGCAGACCTCCTAGAGAAGTCAAAACCTGAGAATCTAAGGACTTCCCTGCTTTCTCATCCGATTTCTCAGCGACAGAAAATGCTTCTTGTATAGGCATAGGCTGGTTATTGGCATTACAAAGTTCAATAAAGGTTTATAGAACTGCTTACACTTATTGCAATGTGATTTTTATTTTTTGGTCCAATGAAAAGTATGTTGCTGTGCACTGCTGGTAAGCTGACCTAAAGAAGGCTATTACACTCATATGATTACACTTATGAAAAATAATACAAGTCCACAAACAAAATCTCCAAGGAGAAATACTGAGCAGCATGAATAGAGAATACTATAACAGGGTTTATAGACAGGGTTCCTACAGCATAAGGCAAGTTAAATTCAAGACTTTTTAATCCCACTTGAAGTAAAAATTTAAGACCAAATTCACAACAAACACAAAAAAAACCTGCTTGCGACAACGTAACCCAAAGGTTTATTATAACATAAACCACTGCACTAATGTTTCAAATTTTGAAAAACTTCCTATACAGGAAGAAAGCTAAAAACACACAAATGACAGATATATTTGAACAATTATTTAACTGAATTCACAAACTTTGTTTTAGCAGGGAACAAAACAAATCAGTTTTAAAGCCACAACATAACCAGTGCTACGTCTTTTTTGCAGCTATTTTTCTTTGTATCGTTTTCTTAGTATGTTTGATTTGGTGATAAGTGGAGGCGTTGCAGAGACAAGGGTGGAACAAAACTGAGAAATACCGGCTGTTTCTCAGTAACTCGATTTTGACACTTTGTGTTTCATGCTTCGCACATGTGACTCCACTGCCTTAATTCCCATCGTTCTGAGCTTGAATCACTTTTTGCACAAAATACACTGAGCCTCATGTATGTTCCCTGGTTTTAGCCATGGAGAAAACTCTTGGCTGGAGACAATTTTGGTTACATTTACACTTGCTCATATTTTCCAGACAAAAAGTCAATGCCGTATCTCCCAAATTTCCCGGCTGCAACAACGCTTTTATTGGTTCCGCTATCGGGACGGAACCAATAATGGCGAGCCGTTATTTTTTTAAATAAAAATAAAATTGTCAATTTTAATGTTTTAATTAGATTACAAAAATAAATCGTAATAAAAAGGATCCTATTTATGATGTTTTCAAAATTAAGACCTACCAAAGACTGATTTAAGACATTTTAATACAAATTAAGGCCTTAGTTTTATTTTGAAGAAGTCAATGCCTTTTAAGACTTTTTAAGGACCCACGGGAACCCTGATAGAGGAACACTACTCTAATTAAAAGCTCTTTTTTCTGAACATACATAGAGTTAGACAAGCGCACCCTTTCTGAGGCTGTCGTTCTATTGGCTGGAAAGGTTGCTATGCGACGATTCGATCCAATCTGAGAGAGAGCAAAAAAAATCCGCAAGCAGAGCCTCTGGGTTTGCGAGCATAAGAGAGACTCGAGCAGAGCGCGGTTTGTGCGCGAAGAGAAGGTGGCAAGCGAGAGGAAAAAATATCTGTGCAAGAAGCATTAAATCTGAGAGAAGAAACAAAGATTTGAGAGAGAAGAGAAAATATTTGAGAGAGGGCACATGTTTTGAGTGTGAGCATTATAAGTTTTGAGTGCAAGAAGATGGAATTCTTCTCTCAAATTGAAATTATGTACTCTTGCATTATGGCAGGATAATTCTCCCATAGATATCAGATTAGAGCATCTCTAGGTGTTACAGTAAGTGAACAGCTGAATCTAAGAGGTCAAAAGTGATGCTAAGGTTACGAACTTCATTTAATTGAGATGATTCAAACACTGATGGTAGTTTCTTCCATCTTATCCGTCCTTTTCCTTACTCCTCTTGAATCTACAAAGAATTTTGAGGTGTTCTTTCCATTTAAAACATGCTAAAACCACGCACCATTAGGATTTGTTTTGTTTGATCCGTCAGATAATGCGCTACCAGAATTGGCACACATAAAAAAACTAATATTTATGATATCTGTAACACCATACTTCTTTAGTTTTCATTGAAAACATGTAGTTTGTTGTTCTAAATAAGCATACCTTGTCCCTTTATGTGTAAATAGTTCCTTAGTTTTTATTCATTTCTTTTTTTCTTGGCAGTTTTAGTTCAATGTCTCTGGCTTAGTTAAAAAGTTGCTAACTGAAACATGTTTAACTTTGTATTATTTCTGTTAATACATTTCTACATTTTTAAAAAGAGTTGTTGAAATTTTATTCTACAGGTGCTGGTCATAAAATTAGAATATCATGAAAAAGTAGATTGATTTTAGTAATTCCATTTAAAAAGTGAAACTTGTATATTATATTCATACATTACATACAAACTCATATATTTCAGATGTTTATTTTGTTTAATTTTGATGATTACAAATGACAACAAATGAAAATCTCAAATTCATCATATCAGAAAATTAGAATATTGTGAAAAGGTTCAAAATTGATGGCCCCTGGTGCCACACTCTAATCAGCTAATTAACTCAAACCACCTGCAAAAGCCTTTAAATGGTCTTTCAGTCTAGTTCTATAGGCTACACAATCATGGGGAAGACTGCTGACTTGACAGTTGTCCAAAAGACGACCATCGACACCTTGCACAAGGAGGGCAAGACACAAAAGGTCATCGCTAAAGAGGCTGGCTGTTCACAGAGCTCAGTGCCCAAGCACATTAATAGAGAGGCGAAGGGAAGGAAAAGATGTGGTCGAAAAAAGTGTACAAGCAAGAGAGATAACCGCACCCTGGAGAGGATTGTGAAACAAAACCCATTCAAAAATGTGGGGGAGATTCACAAAGAGTGGACTGCAGCTGGAGTGAGTGCTTCAAGAACCACCACACACAGACGTATGAAAGACATGGGTTTCTGCTGTCGCATTCCTTGTGTCAAGCCACTCTTGAACCACAGACAGCGTCAGAAGCGTCTTGCCTGGGCTAAAGAGAAACAGGACTGGACTGCTGGTGAGTGGTCCAAAGTCATGTTCTCTGATGAAAGTAAATTTTGCATTTCCTTTGGAAATCAAGGTCCCAGAGTCTGGAGGAAAAGAAGAGAGGCACTTCATCCACGTTGCTTGAAGTCCAGTGTAAAGTTTCCACAGTCAGTGATGGTTTGGGGTGCCATGTCATCTGCTGGTGTTGGTCCATTGTGTTTTCTGAGGTCCAGGGTCAACGCAGCCACATACCAGGAAGTTTTAGAGCACTTCATGCTTCCTGCAGCTGATCAACTTTTTGGAGATGCAGATTTCATTTTCCAACAGGACTTGGCACCTGCACACAGTGCCAAAGCTACCAGTACCTGGTTGAAGGACCATGGTATCCCTGTTCTTAATTGGCCAGCAAACTCTCCTGACCTTAACCCCATAGAAAATCTATGGGGTATTGTGAAGAAGAAGATGCAATACACCAGACCCAACAATTCAGAAGAGCTAAAAGCCACTATTAGAGCAACCTGGGCTATCATAACACCTGAGCAGTGCCACAGACTGATCGACTCCATGCCACGCCGCATTGCTGCAGTAATACAGGCCAAAGGAGGCCCAACTAAATACTGAGTGCTGTACATGCTCATACTTTTCATGTTCATACTTTTCAGTTGGCCAACATTTCTATAAATCCTTTGTTTTTATTGGTCTTCAGTAATATTCTAATTTTCTGATATGATGAATTTGAGATTTTCATTTGTTGTCATTTGTAATCATCAAAATTAAACAAAATAAACATCTGAAATATATGAGTTTGTATGTAATGTATGAATATAATATACAAGTTTCACTTTTTAAATGGAATTACTGAAATCAATCTACTTTTTCATGATATTCTAATTTTATGACCAGCACCTGTATTTATGGGCAGAGTTTTTCTTTTTGAGAATCCTAGAGAAACGGTGGCTCAGTTCTGACAACAGAGTTACCAGGAATAGAATTGTTGTTAATATTCGGAGGAAATGTTCTTACCTTCTCTATTTCAGCAACTTTAGCCTTAATGGCCTCTGACCGACGTGCCTTTATGTCCTCCTCTTGAATTATGTTTGGCTCCGAGTTGGCAGCTGCTACGGCCTCTGTCTCTGCTGCAGATGCTGATGATTTTTCCTGGGAGGTCAAAGGTTGAGGGTCAGAGCAGAGGTCAACAGGTTTAGAAACTAACTGATTTCAAAGTGTCTCTAATAGAGACAACTCTGCTCGCTTACAGGTGCTGAATATTTGTTTGCAAATGTCGCTTATTATGCAGTCTGCATGCTAAAATAAACATCCAGGCTAGGTTAAATTTTAGGAATATTATCTAATAATAACATTCTGACATCCAAAAATCAGGAGGGAAAAAACAGCAATTCAAATAAGTTAAATTTATATTAAGAGAAAAGTAGAGAAAATCTCTCGGATCATTTAAAAATATATTTTTGTCTTATTAATGGTAGTTCTGTAAAATTCTCTGCATTTTTAAAACATAAATATTGAATAAAACAAATGGGAATAGTTAACCACATTATAATACCCTCCCAACTATAGAACAGACACAGTAAAGCAAAAGCTTTTTCAAAACTAAAAACAAAAACTTAAATCCTGTTCTTAGACAAAACCATCCTTTTTAATATTTCCTGAGCAGCTCTTATCCTTCATTATTCTAAGCTTATTGATGGTGGGTCAAACCTTTTCTTCAGACCACTGCTTCATTCAAAATGCCTTTTATTTTCAAAATCATTTCAGGAAAAAAAGGCTCCAAATCCAACTAATGCTGACAAGTGTCACCATGTACTTTATAAATTAGCAAAAAAGAAATATAGGGATTAAAGCAAGAAAAGAAAAAAATCCTGAGCCTGAACTTTTTCGACACGGGCAAGAAACTGAATGTGAGGTCGTGTTTGGTGACGAAAGCACAAACCCTTATTTTTAACTCGCATACATGATCAGTTATTGACGCTGGTAAATCAGCTGTTGCCGTAATTCCCGGCAAACGTGTAGTGCGATCGACCGCACAAACAACACCCGCCCCCTTCTTCTTCTGATTGGCTAATACGTTTAGTTTCAGAGCGCTCCTTTGCTACCATTGCCTGACAAACCCAAGAGGGATTTCGATTGTCTTTTTTTAATTCATTTACCGTCAATTTAGTTTCGAGTGATTTTTTTTTTTTTTACCCACGGCCAATTGCTCCAAGCTAGAAATCCGGCCTGGCCCCAGAATACTTTAATCCCTGGACTAGAGACTGACATTCTTTCGGGAATCCCACGGGTCACGGGATTCCCGTGGGATGGGAGTCAGTATTAGTAACGATCATGTGATTGGAGCAGACGAGAGCGGGAGCAAACCAATAGTAACTAAAAAAAAACTAGGATCGATGCCAAAAAATAAAATAAAATAGAAAGAAAAAAAATCCAGTACTGGCGCCGCCATTTTGTAGTTTTTTTTCCTTGAAGCCTACACTATAATGAGAGTTTAAAAAAACTACACGACCCGAAAACCAACAGTGCTTCCGCTCTGAGTTTTTCACCCGCGCTCAAAAACAAAAATGGAGGGAGCAACAGTTACTACAGTTAGAAACAGGAACTTAACTGATCCTTCATAGAAATTCAGATTCAATGTATTGGCAGAAATCTTATTGAAGACAACAAGAATGGGAGTGGTGCATGAGCGGGAGTCATTCTGAATGGGAGCGGGATGGGAGTGGGAGTAATTTCTACTCTGTCCCAATCCCAGTATTCTGGGATTGGGACGGGACACAATTTTTTTCTGTGGGAGTGGGACGGGACAGGAGTAAAAATCCACTCCCGTGTCAGTCTACCCTGGACATAAAAAATTTAAGCTGTGTTTTAAGTCATGCTATTACAGTTTAAAACGGCAAATTTGTTCTGTGTTGAATTAAAGAGGACGCTGCAAAAAATATTAATTTCCAAACAATCTGCAGTAAATGATGCCATGGTTATAGCATGGCATGGTCAAGTCCCTGATGCTAGCCTACAAAGTGCTTAAGGGTACAGCTTCCATCTACTTGAACCCTCTTGCAAAGGCTTATGTCACAACTCGGTCATAAATGGATTGTTGTCTAGCAGTGCCATCTCCATGCTCAAGACAAGCCAGACTGTTTTCATGGGTTGTTTCAAGATGGTGGAATGACCTATCAAGAGCTACAAGAACAGCAGCCTCCCTTTCTATCCTTAGGAAACTCTTAAAGCCCAACCTCTTCAAAGAGCATCTTCTATCATAACTAGGGCTGCAACTAACGATTATTTTAAAAATCGATGAATCTGACGATTATTTTTTCGATTAATCGATGAATCGGACAAAAAATATTTTTTATATTAACCTCTTTATTCCAAAATAAACATTTTAGACAGAACAAACAAGCACACAAGTACAGGTTGCTCATTAACTGTACTGGTGCAATATGAAAAATAAATGTTTGTGTTAAAACTACGCAAACTTACATGAGAAATGTAGCTGTACATCCACAAAATATAGGGTACTTTGTTTCATAAAGCGCAAAAAAAGACATTTTTGTTTTTAAAAGCCCCTAAGGGGTTCAAACAATAGGCCCCCCATTTCAACAAATGAGTTTTTTTAGACTAGAAGAGTTCTGCCTTTTAAGAAAGGAAAGTATAGCAGTTAAAGTTGCTACTTGAGAAAATACTTAACCATAGAGATAAAAATAGCCCTGTGATTCAAATTATAAATTGTATTTGGAATAAAAATGAGAGAACTAGGGGTGCTAAAAAACACATCCTCCAAAGACTCCAATTTACATGGGAATGTGGCATATAATTAATTGACATATTACTGATCTTGCTGGATTTTATTCTGCTTTACTTCCATAAATTGCAGGATCTTCTTTACTTTATCTTTGCCAGAAGATTTAAACTTTAAAAGCCTTGCCCTCATAATTTGCAAGTTAATTTATTTATAAAGTAAATGTAAACGCTGCTTAAGCTAATTCAAATGAAATTAAAAGTAAAATAAGTAGCCAACCTTATCACTGTCTGTAACCTACTAACACGGTAAGCAAAGCATCAGATGAGCTACCTGAGAAACTAACGTTACGTTTCCCCACTTTAAAACCAAACAAACATGGTGGTTCCGTGCCATGTTAATTTCTTTTGAAAAAAGTTGCATGTTATCACTTTTTTCGCTTTACAAAGCGCAGGCTATTTTAATTATTGTGATCAATTTGCGCCGTCAATCCCGGCGCATGCGCGCTTCATTTGCAGTCTGGACGCTGAGGCTCTGACTGCAGCTGAGAGGGACTCCTGCGGGAGCGGGGGGAGGCGCCCCACGGCAGAGTAGGAACGATGCATGCTTTCACGTAAGAGTCTCCAAAAGCCGCCAGTGAAACCGAAAAAAGTCGCCAGATTTGTCGCTAGTCGCTTTTTTGAAAAATAGTCGCTGGAGGGGTCTGAAAAGTCGCTGAGTTGGCAACACTGCTCCTGCGGCGCTGACTCGCTCTGCCATATGTTTTTTTCTTCCTCTTTCAGTCAAGAGGCAGTGATGACGGCGCGGCGGATGACGCAATAATCGCGCGACACAACTAATCGATGATGAAATTCGTTGCCAACGCTTTGAAAAGTCGATTTTTATCGATTTTATCGATTCGTTGTTGCAGCCCTAATCATAACCCTTACCCATAGCTCTGTACTCCTCTACTACTCTTTCTGCACTTCCCTATCTCTTTGCTGTCACCACTGTTTCAGACTAGGGGTTTTCCTCTAGAGAATTTACCGTCATGCTGATGATAACTGTAAAATTGTGTCCACTTTGTAAGTTGCTTTGGATAAAAGTGTCTGCTAAATGCATAGACATAAACATATGCAAGTAAAGCAAATGAGTGAAAAAGCTTGTAGTGCAAATTTTTACAAAGCCTCTCAATAAACTGCAACGATGACAAACGGTAATGGGTAGGGGTGTAAATTAAACCCATCACGGCGATTCGATTCAGTATTGATTTCCTGACCCAACGATTCGATTATTTTCAATACTCAAGAATACACCACGATACGATTCGATTCGATTATTTGGTTATTATTATTATTTATTTTTTTCTACACCTTTCAGGCTAGACAATTTTTCAAATTTGAAATAAATCAATGAAAGCTGCAATAATGTTATGCATTTTTTTTTAGAAACAAAAGCAAGTAACAGAAGTAGAAAAGTTGTACTCCACCTATTCCTATTAAAACCTCATTCACTGAAATAATAATGCCCCTGCGTTATACATTCTGAAAGGCCTTGCATAAAAAATACTGTACAAAATCAGCGCAATGAGTGCAATGCGATACCTCGGCTCCAGAGTTTCGACGTCCCCGCCCCCTCCGCAGACACTCCGCTGCACCTCTCCCAAATTGTAGCTGACCGCAGACAGGAGGCCGGCTTGTTTTGTTTTTATGACCGAAACTGCGGAAAACAACTCTTGAAGTTTGACCCGCTAGAAGAACGAGGTGCGCGAGAACGCTGGGACCCTTTTTCCACCTGGATCTCCGCTCTTTTTGGCCCTCATGTCCCTCCGTCGTCGGACTAAACTCGCCCCCACTTCCTCGCCGCCTCGGCCGTATCTAGACCCACAGCGTGTAGCACAGACCACGCTTCCATACTGAACAGAAATCAAAATGTCTGTGTCAAGCTCACTGCAACACACTGCTGCAGGAGTATAACCAGGAAGCGAGGTTGGAGCGCAAAATAGGTTTAGCGCCACCGCAGCACGGGAGGGAGAATTACGTCCAGGAGCAAATGTATAAAATACACCGGAGGAAAAAAAAAAAAAAAGTATAATCAATACTCTTGCAAGTGTATCGATGCATCGGATCATCGGCTGTTGGATCGATGCATTGATACAAAACGATTATTATTTACACCCCTAGTAATGGGGGAGTGGTGGCCTAGTGATTAGAGCATAAGGCTTGGAATCCTGAGGGTTTTAGTTCAAAACCCACTCCCACAGACTGCCACTCTGGGTCTCTAAGACAGACCTTTATACCCCGATTGCTCCCCAGCGCCCCACAATGGCAGCCCACTGCTCCCCAAGGGGATGGGTTAAATGCAGAGGTAAATTTCTCCAAGGTGAGATCAATAATGTTCAATTATTATTAATATTGTTATCAATCATGAGTCTCTCTTTCCTTTAGGGGTGGATTAAAACTTTTTCCTAATGCTATATACATATATAAACCCGTAAGGAATGTATATGAAAAACGATTTACCTTAGAAGAGGCTGGGTGGGGGGAGTCCTCTACAGAACTGCTGGAGGTGAAGCTCTTCGATGCGCTGGACTTGTCTATGGAAAGGAAATGATGAAAGGGGGTAAAGTGTATAATCATTCTCATATTCCAACAGTAAATACAAAGGTCTGACAAAAATTAGACAACTACAGTCAGGGTGGCCACAGCGATCTTTCATTTACTTTTTCCCTATTAAAAAGAAGCCTGAGGAGACATCTTAATGGGTTGTCGTCTGGAACAAATATAGCATTAACTGCAGCATGTTTGCTCCCATGGCTTCTCCTTTTTTCTTCCCCTACATTACATTGTTTTATATTAGCCTGGAAATACTCCTTTATCCATACATAACCATAAAGCCACATCTATCAGATTTAGTTTGACTTGATTGAAGGCCTTCCCGGTAAAATACATTGTGTAGTTGATCCACTAAAATTGTTCAAAAGCCTTCAGATAAAATAAAGAAAAATGTTTGCCATTTTGTCATTTTTTTTTAACCAAGGAAGTGCTTTACAGTGATGAGAGCGCTGTAATGTTGAGTCTTTCATGTTGTTTTTAGGGACGCCACAGTTTAGAGGCCAAAGTAAGCTGTATACCTACTGCTTATTGAAAGGTCACCGATTCTTTCTGCCTGCTACAGATGTCCCTTTAAAAATTTCAGTGGGAAAAAATGTCACAATCAAAGTTTTTCAGGAGGCAAAGATTATCCAGAAAAGCATCCTGGAAATTCAATAGATTGTTTGTTTTAAACACCTCAAGACCAAATGCTGGTATAAATGATGATGCGACATAGAGAGAAATTATTGTTCTCTTTTAACTTCACTTTATCACTGACCACAAAACAGCAGCGGGACCATCAAGGATTTTCACATTTTCTCCCCGAGATTACAATGGTTGTTTAATTTTCAATAAAGGTTGTGTTCAGAGAAAAAAAACCTTTTTTGTTGCGTCCCAAAAATCAGAAAATATAAAGGACATCAAAAGGAAGGGTTACAATAAGCGCTGAGCCTGGAAACATATACAGCAAAGACAGGCCTTTGAAAACGTCAAGACTTTCAGCAAGGGCTGAAACAATTAATCACATTAATCAATTATTGAAATAATCGTCAACTAATTTAGTAACCGATAAATAGAGTGAACTGGAGCATAGAGACTTTAACACATGCTTTTGGCTGACAGAACGACCCATTTAGAGCAGTAATTATACCAAGTTTAATAAAACAGGAGCTTGTGGAGAAAAGCCCTTACAGTCTGAACATAGCATTATTCATTAAAATAAGCCAAGCGACTCTTTCGATTTCATCCGCCATTGTTACAACAAAGAAAGGATAGCGTAGCTCCTCCCAACTCGCATCAGACCCACTTTTCCACCACGCAGCCAGAACAGCAAAGATGCTTCAGCTGCGTGTCAGAACTAAAGTTGTACAAGCATCAGAAATGAAGCAGCAAGCGGTTTTGTGGTCTGATTAAGTCTTCTAAAGTCGTTGTTCCTGTTCCCACATGATGGAATCAAACATTTTATATGCTCTAAATATGAGCAGCCCCGTCACCACTTAACTGAAGTGTTTAAACAGAGATTTGTATAAGGCAAATATTTCATTAACACATCTCATCAAAGCTGTGAAGCCAATGAGAAGCTAAGTAAAATAACAGATTTCCATTGATTCTGGAAACACCATTAAGGCTGCATATTTACTACTTGCTCGGTGAGGAAAAGGTCAGGTTCTGACCGCCACTCCAATAAACCAAAGGTATCCTTTTTCCCAGCCTTTAACAGAACCAGTGTGTGTGTGTGGTGTTTGTGTAATTAACATCCCAACATGCTACAGCCCACCCTGACCCTTCACATTACACACCTCCTCGAAAAACAGATGCCTTACCTGGAACGGCTGAATTCCTTCAGCTTAATTGTTTTTTGAAATGACGGCACTTTGTGTGCCGTTGTAATTACAATGGGAAAAGCAGCTTTGAGCTTTCTTTATCATAGAAACATTTTACTATCAGTCACATGACAAGTTTTCTATATGTTTGAGCTTTTATTCAGTCAAAGCTGTGCCTCATAACCGAGTGTCAGATGCTTCAAAGGGATAATTTGTTACGAGATGTCATAAAAGCCATCGGTTACTGGGTCAGGCGGTCAAATTCATTAGTGCCGGGTCTTAGGACGAATTTACAATCAAAGACGAAAAAAAGAGGAGGGTTCATGATGGGTTCAAATCCCCAGTTTGAGTTCGGTGGTGTTTTGGTTCACAGGAGAGTTTTGCACTGGAGTAAATTAAATATGAAAACTAAGATTAAGATAACAACGTGGCCTCTAAGGTATTCATTTTGTTTAATAAAGACCAAACCATTGCAACCAAATCTGCGTGATTGGAAGAGTTCATCACTTTCAGGTTAGGGTGAGTGAGACATACGTACACTTCTGCTGATAGGTGAAGCCTTTGTCCCTGTCAGGTGAGAGGCTCCTGCTGGGGTTTGATCCCGATCGGATGGGTGGATGAGATTCCCTCCTTCCAGGAGAGCGATCTCGTGTGATGACTAAAGATTTAGAGGGCCTGTAGTCATAATCCTCCCTGGATAAAAAATATTAATTAATCCCATGAAAGGTTTGAATTTAAGGCAAATGAAAGTTTTTTATCATATTGATTGAGAGCAAATTAAATTGTGTTATTGTGTACCTAAAAACAGAGTTCCTACAGCATAAGGCAAGTTAAATTCAAGACTTTTTAATGGCACTTGAAATAAACATTTAAGACCAAATTCACAAGAAACACAAGAAAAACCCGCTTGCGACAACTTAACACAAAGGTTTATTATAACATAAACCACTGCACCAATGTTTCAAGTTTTGGAAAACTTCCCATACAGGAAGAAAGCTAAAAACACACAAATGACAGATATATTTGAACAATTATTTAACTGAATTCACAAACTTTGTTTTAGCAGGGAACAAAACAAATCAGTTTTAAAGCCACAACATAACCAGTGCCAAGTCTTTTTTGCAGCTATTTTTCTTTGTATCGTTTTCTTAGTATGTTTGATTTGGTGATAAGTGGAGGCGTTGCAGAGACAAGGGTGGAACTAAACTGAGAAATATCCTCTGTTTCTCGGTAACTCGATTTTGACGCTTTGTGTTTCGCGCTTCGCTCGTTGCAAGCTTGATTCGCTTCTTGCATAAAATCCACTGAGCCTCATGTATGTTCCCTGGTTTTATCCATGGAGAAAACTCTTGGCTGTAGACAATTTTGGTTACATTTACACTTGCTCATATTTTCCAGACAAAAAGCTAATGGCGCATCTCCCAAATGTCCCGGTCGCAACAACGCTTTTATTGGTGCCGCTATCGGGATGGAACCAATAATGGCGAGCCGTTATTTTATTTTTTATATATATAAAAAAAAAATTGTCAATTTTAACGTTTTATTTAGATTACAAAAATAAATCGTAATAAAAATAATCCTATTTATGATGCTTTAAAAATTAAGACCTACGAAAGATTGATTTAAGACATTTTAATACCAATTAAGGCCTTAGTTTTATTTTGAAGATTTCAATGCCTTTTAAGACTTTTTAAGGACCTGCGGGAACCCTGAATTTCAATTAACCAAAGAATAAAGCACTGCAGTGCTTTTAACGAGCATGATAATCTACTAAAACCCATAATTAAATATCATCTTGCTCTTATTTAAAATTGCACACCTTTAGTCTTAGATGATTAAACATTAGTGAATATCAATCTTGCCTTTGACTAGACTATTTTAATTGAATATTTTCATCTGTATCTATAGCAATATATTAAGGATCTGTTAACTTTAGTTTCTAACAGCCTTCATGATGTTTTTTGTTTAGCTCCTTCCATCTTGCCTGTCCATGCTGATGAATAGAATCCCCTAAGCATGATGCTGTCACCACATTTCAATGTGTTCAGAGGGAAATGGACTTTCCCTCCCCAAATATTATTTTACATCTGGACCAAAAAGTCAACTTTATGGTTTCATCAGATCTGAACAAACTTTGCCATGTTTGCTGTGTCTCCCATGAGGCCTGTGGCAAATTGCAAACAGGACGTTTTGGGCTTTTTGTTAACAAAAGATTAGCTTGTACCACTTTTCTATGGAGACAATTTTTTGTGGATTATAAAGCTGATAGCTGTCCTTTTACCCGATTATGCTCCCTTAGTGTGATGAAAAAAGGCATTGAAATTATAAGATTTAATTTCTTGCACAATTTCTTTCCACAAATTTCTAACTTTCAATCAGACCAGTAAAGCTAAATAATAAATTATCCCTCTTTTCATATATCCATTTCTTGAGCATTTATTAAAAACCATTTAGATACTCCTTTCACGTCACAATACGGTTACTCTTGTTCTATAATGTTAAATCCAACTGAAACATTTTAAAACTTGTGCTTACAAAGCAATAAAATGGTAAAAAGTTTCTTAAAGCTGTTATTCTATACATGTACTGCCATTTATTTATTATATAAATAGGGGGAAACTGAAAGCCAAACCTCTTCACCTCAGGAGCAAAGAAAAAGAAAAAACAGCTCTATTAGGTAAATATCTGTAAACTCTGCTACTCGTTATCTCTGAAGGAACGAACGTATATTTTCTGCACGGCACCCACCTTGGAGGAGGACCGTAGCCTTGACCTCTCCTATGAGGAGGACCTCTACTCCTGTTCCTACTATCAAGAAAAAAAAAGTTTTAATAAAAATGTAGCAGTTTAAAAAAAAAAAAAAAGTGTCAGTTTCTGCACCAAATTCTGCAGCCTAGAGGAAAAAGAAGCAATCTGTGTGCAAATATGTTGATCCTTAAGTTAACATGTTTCTCTAAGCTAACAGCACAATATATTCCACTGTTGATTATATCTAATACAAACTAACTACCCAAGAATTGCAACCTGCAAGTGGTGTTTAGTGCCGACTCTGAACTAAATAGCATAAATGCAATATTTCTTGTTTAAAGTAGAAGTCCGGTCATATTCAGAATTTCAACTTCTGAAAATACCTTAAATATGAAATTATTCCATGCTGTTAAATAAATGATAAATGTTTTTTAATTAAGTATAATTTCATTTAAACGTGCTTTAATGGAGGCATCCACGTTTGTCAAAGAACACTACTGCCACCTACTGGTTTGTGACGTCACGGTGCGGTATCGGCTGCTGATCAAGACCCAGTGCTGTATCTGGTGTTTGTCACAACGCGCTATTATCCAGGTCATCTTGAAAACATTCTTCTTCAAAATGTAATATATCACGCGTTTTTTCTCTGGCCGGAAGTTCGATCGCAAATCCTCCCTCTTCAAGTTGGCAATCCAACGAACCCGTGGTGGTTCATGAATCGGAAAGGTGAAATAACAATTGTTTTTTTTTTTCCACTTTTACCTAATGTATCAAAACATCCAGCTGCCATGAACGTGAGCAGTGTCAGTTTCACTATAGCTCTGGTGAATTTCAATGGTGAAGTCCTCTGGAAATCTTCAATAATTGTTGTTGATTGCAGATGTGTCTAGTGGTTCCCATTGATTTTGCTTGTAAAGCGGGGAGAATGGCGCTAGGCTTACCGCACCGTGACGTCACTGCTGGAAGATGGCAGGAGGGAGGGGTTACTATATTTGGGCAAAAATGGCCGCTCCCAGCCATTTTTGCTATTTTTTTTACTGATTAACGCCAATTTCATTAAATCACCGCAAACGTATTAGTTTTAGGTATAAATAATAATCCAAAGATTATTCCTTGCTGTCCGGACTTTTGATTTAAAACCGGCTCATGCAGAAAGTCATATCTACATTTATCATTTCTATCGTCCTGAGAATCTTAAACCTTTATTAAAGCTTTATTAACAGCAGGCAATAGATTATTCAAATGTGCCTTTTAGGTTCAATCAGTCCAAATCTTTCAAATCAATGTTACCAATCAAGGTAATTCATTTGCAACACTATTAATGTTGTTAATAATGTCTACTGGTACATGTAAATAAGGCTGTTTAAATCCAATCAAATATGCTTTCGACATGGAAGGTTTCAAATATATAATTTTACAAACTCAAGAAAGCAGATTGCAGGTTTAACCTTAATGATACACATTTCCACTTGTCTTTTAAAAAGAAAAGTCCACTCATACATGGACCTCAAACTCCTCTGGATGTGTGTTTGCCCAGAGAAGAAGCAGTCCAGCTGGTTTCCTCTAAGAGAGGGGTAAAGTGTGAAGCAGAGGTTGTGTGTGTGGGGGGGTGTTTGGCTAAGTGAGCAGACACTAGTGCCCTTTGTCCCCTTCTTTAAGCCTGGCATGTGTCCTATTAAGGAGGACTAGAGCCCAGAATCTGCTGGTATGTAAAAGCAGCAAAGCAAAGAGGTTTGTTGATTGACTTGTTCGAACGGCTGGACTTCTCTCACTTCTGTAGCAAGAAAAGTTGGATTTATATAGCTTAGATATGTTAGCTCAATGGTTTCTGATGCACCAGACTTGCTTCATGGTTCAGCTTTTTTATAGCTGAACCATTTTTTTTACTTTTAGCAGACTGTAAAAAAAAAAAAAAAGGAAAGTTGAATACATTTCTTTTAAAAACAATAATCCATGCTCATTAGGTGAAAATAAAACTAAGTTCATAAATCTCTGTACCGTTGATTCTTTGCTGCTGAGAACAGAACTCTGGCTACATCTAGTGGTCAATTTGATCAATTACAACGTCAATGTAATGGCAGCTGTACTCCGATACCAATCAAAGGAGTGAAGCAATGATGTTACCTTGAGCTTAGCTGATGCCTCAAGTCATCTCGACCGTAACTCGTCTGAGGGTACGAGTCCTAAGAGAGAAAAAAAATAAAATAAAATATAATCACATAGGAAACTGCTATTTTCAAAGTCATAGGTCCACAAAAAGATTATTTTTAAAATCATACAGCCACAGAGAGTCTAGAGTGTTGAAGCATAAAAGCATTCATTTGAATGAGAAAAAAATGGTGTATAAATAATTGCTTTCTAAATGTCGACGTTTTCCAAATAAATAAATATCTACATCTGGTAATGGTGCCATTGTTATCACAAAAAGAATCTGCACCAACAGGAATAGTTGAAGTCATCTGAGACAGACAGGGTTCCTACAGCATAAGGCAAGTTAAATTCAAGACTTTTTAATGCCACTTGAAATAAAAATGTAAGACCAAATTCACAAGAAACACAAGAAAAACCTGCTTGCAACAACTTAACCCAAAGGTTTATTTTAACATAAACCACTGCACTAATGTCTCAAATTTGGAAAAGCTTCCCATACAGAAAGAAACCTAAAAACACACAAATGACAGATATATTTTAACAATTATTTAACTGAATTCACAAACTTTGTTTTAGCAGGGAACAAAACAAATCAGTTTTAAAGCCACAACATAACCAGTGCTAAGTCTTTTTTGCAGCTAATTTTTCTTTGTATGGTTTTCTTAGTATGTTTGATTTGGTGATAAGTGGAGGCGTTGCAGAGACAAGGGTGGAACAAAACTGAGAAATACCGGCTGTTTCTCGGTAACTCGATTTTGTGTTTCGTGCTTCGCATGTGCGACTCCACTGCCTTAATTCCCATCGTTCCGAGCTTGAATGACTTCTTGCACAAAATACAGTGTGCCTCATGTATGTTCCCTGGTTTTAGCCATGGAGAAAACTTTTGCCTGGATAGACAATTTTGGTTACATTTACACTTGCTCATATTTTCCAGACAAAAAGTAAATGGTGCATCTCCCAAATGTCCCGGCCGCAACAACGCTTTTATTGGTTCCGCTATCGGGACAGAACTAATAATGGCGAGCAATTATTTTTTTTTAAATAAAAAAAAAAGGTAAATTTTAACGTTTTATTTAGATTACAAAAATAAATCATAATTAAAATAATCCTATTTATGATGTTTTAAAAATTAAGACCTACGAAAGACTGATTTAAGACATTTTAATACCAATTAAGGCCTTAGTTTTATTTTTGAAGAATTCAATGCCTTTTAAGACTTTTCAAGGACCCGCGGGAACTCTGGACAGAGCTCAAGTGTTGCCAGATTTGTAAATAGTTTTTTCTTAGCATTACATTTCTCAAAACAAAAGAAAAAAAATTGAAACACGAAGCACAAGACTGAGACGCCACGCAGTGGTTTCCACTTTTCTTCTGAACAATGCAAGTTAAATGTCTGCATCTGTATTAGCTGACCTGGCAACCAGCTGGCAAACAGCATGGTGTGAGAACGGGCGAGCAGGAGTGCGCCCCTTACTGGTCAGGAGGAGTTAAAACTGTAGCTAGCGCCTTTAAATGTTACACTGTTTGAAAACTGTCCTGAGGACTTTGCAAGATAATAAAAAAAGTTTAACCTTCAAAGGATGGAATACATGGAATAGCCAATTTATTAGGGAAACATTAGCAAAATTTGCAAGTGAGCAAAATAACCCCAATTGGCATTGGCAGATGGTTCAAGTTATTGACTGTTTGATAAATTGCATATTTCAGCAAATAAAGCTCTTTTTTCTTGAACTTGTACTGAAGTGAAGGTGTACATTTTTTACTGATATAAAGTCCGTACAATTATAGTTGGGTGAACATTTGTGTTACTTGCACAAGATTTATGTTATGAATTAGTTTAGTTTTTTTTTTATTCGTTTATTGTTGGCTAAATATTTGGTAATTTGCACAATATATTTTTGAATAAAATAAGCCTATTTTAAAATACATGCATGTAGGTTTTTAAGACTTCAATTAAAACCAATTAAAATCGTAATCATCCAAGATGACCAAAAAAAAAAAAAAAAGAAAAAAAAAATCGAGATTTAATTTTTTTAGCCATATCGCCCAGCCTTAAATAAACTGAATTGAACCACATGAAGGAACTAAAGTTATTAGTAGTGCTGTCAATCGATTAAATTTTTTTAATCGCGATTAATCGCATCAATGCCTGAGTTAACTCGCGATTAATCGCATTTTAATCACACATTTTTTTCCTGATTGAAAATCATTTAAATACTCTCGATGACATACAAAAAAATACATACAGGCTAGGTTTGTGCCAATGTTCTTTTTTTAAAATGAAAACAGGTCACAGATACTGATTTATGCCAAAAATAACAAATATGTAGCCAAAAAAAAAGGCCCTGAAAACAGGCTGATGTAAAAGACAGTCTTTACAGTTAATACAGTCTTTTGAACAAAGACAAGCATTTTACCCTACTGCTATAAAATGCAGTAGTTAACATTAGATGTTAATTATCCAAAGTAATAATGAACAATTTTCAATCAATACATTAAAATCAATAGACCGACATCACTAGATGGAGGTAGTCTTTTCAGCCTCTTAACAAAAATGAGAACACACACACAAGCACCCACCCACCCACACAGACACACACACACACACACACACACACACACACACACACGATACCGACCTGTTGCGTACACAGACGGCAAGAGTGCCGTAGCAGACTCCATTTCACCTCAGTAATCAGTTTTCTCAGCGTATTTCAGGTTGCTACTAGTTACCAGACACTCAACTTGTTTGTTGGTGGTGGGGCTTAAAGAAAAGGCACTAGCGCCACCCAGTGTATGAGCGTCTTTTTTCCTTGAGGAGCTCCGCTGTCGAAGCCTATGAGAACTGCATACACTGGGGGAAAATAGCCCCGCCTTCCCGCAGGCTGCAGCGGGATGTACTTGGAAAATTGTACTATAAAACCACATAGCGTTAATCTCACGTTAAAAAAATTATCGCCGTTAAAATGGCCTCGCGTTAACGCGATAATAACGCGATAATTTTGACAGCACTAGTTATTAGCCATTTAAACAATATGACTTGCTTAAGTTAAAACCAAGAATGGATAGAAAGGTGGTTAATGCACCTCTGAGTGTGACCTGGTGAGATTGAGCTGAACTGTCTGGATTTTAACGCACAACCATCTCACAGGCAGGGGTGGAAAGTAATGAATTACATTTACTCAAGTTACTGTAATTGAGTACTTTTTATGAGTAATTAGTAATTTTCTGAGTAGTTTTTGAAATATGTAATTTTTACTTTTACTCGAGTAAATTTTAACCTAAGTAGTTTTACTTTGCTACATTTAAACCCCCCTCATGTTACTGAGAAAAAAAAAAATATATATATATATATATACTGATAGTGAAAAAATTAAATGTGGCCCTGCCTTGCAATTACTTTTACTTGAGTAAATTTTGAGATGGGTCATTTTACTTTTACCGTACTCTGAGTAGAATTTAGGCAAAGTAAAGATACTTTTACTCAATTACAATTTTTTAGTACTCTTTCCACCTCTGCTCACAGGTATATAGACAGTGGTTCAAAAACAAGGAAATAAGTTGGATGTACTCCAGTGACATGCAATTTAAAACAGATCTCAATACAACACACTTTTGAAAGCAGTGTAACTGTAGGTTTTAGTCAAAAATGTCAATAAATCTTCAGGAAATGTGAAATGCCTTAAAGTCAACATGATCAATCTCAAAGAATTAATTTTAAATGGTTCTCAGAGATAAAGGTTTAGAGTAGAGTAAAAGCTGCTGGCAGTGCTGAACAACTCTCACACTTGGGTACCATTTCAGTAGGGCTGGGTACCGAACTTCGGTTCTTTTATGGTACCGACCGAAATGCTTCGGTTCTACAGGGTATCGAAACATGCCTCGTCTTTCGGTACCAAGTTTCGGTGATTGGCTGTAACACTTAACGTGATTGCGTCATCCAGGAAAAATACACAGGTGGTCACGCCTACAGCCAGGGTTCATGTGTATCTGTTGTGAACTGGTTGTGAGCGTCGCGGAAACCCTTTAAAATGCCCCCCAGGTCAAAAGTGCGGCTTCACTTTATTAAGACTGATGCTAATAGTGCGCAATGCAATACATCGTGCACGGAGACAATTTAAGACCGGAAAGTTGCTCGGTGTTTGACTGCAAGAAGAGCGGACCGCAGCCGGCGCGACCATCCTCCTCTCAGCAGCCCGTGGGCAGAGCAAAGCCAGAGCGGAGTAATGCTGTAATAATGCTGCAATTTCAAACTGGACGCAGCAGAAGCAAAATCACGTCTGCTGCTTCCTTTTTTGATGCTTGTCCCAGCTTCTGACGCGCGGCTGAAGAAGCTTTGCTGCTCTGGCTGCGCGGTGCAAAAGTGGCTCTGATGCGCGTTGGGCGGAGCTACTCTATCCTTTATTTGCCTTGCAGCTATATTTGCTGTGATCAGTGGGAATAAAGTAGTTTTATTATGTTTTTAAGTGGGAAAATCCACCTGAAAACTTAATCACTGCAGTCAGTTCATCCATATCAGCCTTCCAATATTCTTTGTCAGAGCCGCTCAGACCCCCACATACCAGCGGTGCGCTGTCAGTAGGATCCCATTCAACGGGCTTGTTTGTCAGACATGGTAAACTGCTAAGTAAAAAGGTCCTCACAATGTTACAGTGAATATTAGACACTGATTTTTTTTTTTTTTTTTATGTAAGAGGAAAAATGTAAATGGAAAAATCAGAGCTTAAAATAAAACTCAAGATTTGTACTTTTTTATGTTGTGTAATTTTCTTTTTCTTCGAATTGATATTATAAAACTGGTATCGAAAAAAGTATCGTTCAGGAACCGGTATCGAAGTGAAGGTATCGGTATTGGTACCGGTACCGAAAATTTTTGAACAATACCCAGCCCTACATTTCAGTGTATGTTGCTGCATTGGTTATTACACATGGACACCTCAGCTGCACATTTCCAATAGGGCTGGGTAAAAGAAATCGTTTTCATCGATTTTGAATCGATTACTTTACATTTTTGCAGAATCGATGTGGGAATGAGATTAATATTTTTATAGTGACTAGCTTGACGTTCACATTCAAATGAGCTAGAAAGATGCACTCAAGATGACTTCAAGCCAGACAGCTGCAACTATAGCCAATAAGTTGACTAAAGACATTAACAAATGGGGGCTGACCAGCAAACATTTTTGAACAGTTTTGTTCACATCTCAAGCTTAAACTGTCTGATTTACAAGTTTGCACTTTGTGTTTAATGTGACAGGAAAAAAATAAAATACATGATGAGTATTCTGACACACAGTTGAACCACTTTCATTATTTGAAAAACAGATCGAATCGAAATTAATCGATTTAGAACTGTGTTAATCAAAATCGAACCGATTCAGAACTTTGGCGAAAATAACCCAGCCCTAATTGCCACTACGTGGAGCTATAAGCAAACCGTGATGGTAAACGATTCAGTCAAAATGATTTCGGTTCTTATGACTGTTTTGAAATTCGTCCCAAATCAGATCCTCCTAATTGTTTGAGGGCGAAGGATTAACTCAATCTCCTTGTCAAAGTGTGAAAATCAAATTATAAATGATCATTATACAAATAAATAAAAACTTTCCCCGAGTGTCATGCTCAGACATTCGCCTCAAAAACTTGTTCCTTTCTTTCCACTGCGGCACAAAAAATTCCAATTATTCTTTCAAACGGTGGACTTACATCTCGATGTGGTGGAGAGTGTCTTCGGTAGTTATCATAGCTGGAGTTTTCATCGTAGTACTGACTGTCATCAGATCGATAAGTGTCTTTGGTGTGATATCCTCTTCCACTATTGTAGTCACGAGGGCCCCTGTACCGCTGGTCATCATATCCTCTGTCAAATTCCCCCCCTGGCCGTGTCATAGGGTTCCTCTTCTCAACAATATTGACAACCCGGTGAACTGTAACCTAAAAGGACAATTTCAATGTTGAACTTGAGTGGTTTTATTATAAAAAGTTTCAGTAAAAACCACCAAACGCTGCTGATCAAACAAACCCCATACCTCTCTTGCATCCTGTGGGGCAAACTGTTCTTCATATGCTTCTCTGATGGATTTTCGACCGTGCTGATAAGCCACTACAAAAAACAAGGACTTATTATAGCCATGGATTTCAATTTTTTACAAGGCCTTTAAAAATGATCAAATAAATTCTGAAAAGAAATACACCGCTAACGCTCTCCTGTCACCTTCTCTTTGTATAATCATTAAAGCAATTATTATTTGCAAATAACCTCTATGAAATTCATGGATCAAAACATGGTAAACTCTCATTATTTAGACTTAGACTTTATTATCATTTTGTACACACCGCGTATACGAAAAGAAATTACCGTAAATTCCGGACTATAGAGCGCACCTGATTACAAGCCGCACGCTTTAATTTTAGAAAGAAAATTAATTTTGTACTTTTATAAGCCGCAGGTTTCCCACGTTGTACGAGATATTTACAAATAAAGATATTACACGTGAGCATTTTTTCAACGTTTGATTTAATCCGTATGATAAAACAAACAAATACGGTAAATATTATGAATGCTTTTTTTTTTTTCAAACTACCTGTAACACATTTAAATATATGTATGTGTCGGTAACACGCAAATAACGCTCCATATAGCGGTACTTTTAATTGAACAACGCACAGAACATTGCTGCCGACCAGGAAAAGTCATTAATCACTTTCTTCTTCCTCCTGCGCACTAAAACCCTCAAAGTCCTCTTCCTCGGTGTCTGAATGGAACAGCTTCAGGATGCTGTCACTGACTTCAGTCTCATCCTTGTCGCTCTCACCTGAGCACTCGCGGTCCTCTTCATCCCGCAGCAGGGTTAGGGTTTCGCGCCATGAAAAAAAACATGTATTAGCCGCACTGTATTATAGGCCGCAGTGTTCAAACAGCGGGAAAAAAGTAGCGGCTTATAGTCCGGATTTTACGGTATGATTAGTACAGCTCTCAAGACATTTCTATTATTAAAGTTCAGCAGTGATAAAATGTAAACAGAAGACCGGTATATGATTTGCAGTTTTCAACATTCAGCGCTTTTTTATTTTTGTTAAAAACCCCATTTTAAACAACATTCAGCAGTCTAATGGCAGTAGGGAAGAAGCTGTTTAGGATATATCCTGGACCTGCATCGGATGCTTCGAAGTCTCTTCCTAGAGAGTAGCAGGAAGAACATTCCATGGTGGGGGTGTGAGGGGTCATTGATGATGTCACAGGCTCGGGACACGCAGCGCTGGGATAAAATGTGAAATGAAATTTACACTTACTGTTGAGTTCTCTGTATCCTCAAGACGCCTCAGTTGAGAATAAGGAACCTATGAGATACCAACAAAGAAAAAAAAAAAATAATGAAAACAAATAAGCAAATACGCTTCAAAACAAATCTGCCAGACAAATTCAAACACAGCGCCTCATCAATTAAACATTATTTTAATCAGGACCATTATGGTAGATTAGAGTTGTACACAAGTGATCCTTTATAGAAATGCATGAAGGCCATTTGGTTCATATTCACTTTTAGCTTTGACCGTTTAATAGGACTTTAGTTTTAATGGTGGAATAACAGCACAGTGATCAGGTGGAATGAGCTTTAAAAACTAGAAGCAATAGCTATATAAACATACATGCAGCTGAATCTATATAAAGCACTGTTGAACACTGAAAAGCATAGTAGTCAACTTTTATCGTCATTTTGTACACATAGGGTGTATACAAAATGAAATTTCATTTTGTCCAGCTCTCATGACATTTCCATTTTATTAAAGTGCAATAGTGATCACATGTAAACAGCGTGGGAGAAAAACATGATGCAAAAAACGCATTGATAGGGGAGTTCAGCGCATCCTGAGCTGCACTTTAATACAAGATTTTTAAGTGCATCTCCAATCGTCCAAAACCAGGATAAAGTTTCAAAATGTCATTGTATCTGTGGTTCCTAATGTCCCATCCATTGGAAACTGCATGAACAACAGTAAAACTGAGGGTTCAACTGCAAAGCAGAAAGGATTTAGGGAACTTTTATGGTCAGACCGGAGAAACGCTGTTTTGGGCAAAAACGACATGAACTGTGACTGAATTCACACTGCATGTCTTGATGCTCAATTAGGATTTTTTTTTTTTTTACAGGAATCTGATTTTAGCCTACAGAGAAAAAGGTGGGGTTTTAGAGCCAAAGCGCACTGTCTGCATTCCAATTTATGGGCCGCGTCCTCCGGAGGCCAGATTCGAAGGCTGGTGATGTCTCAGCGTGGCGCCGAGGTCTGGTCGGACTATAAGACTCCTCGTTATGTGGCCGACAAATGTGTCCTTTTTGCCCAATTTGAAGGATGGGCCCGGTGTATCCTATCTATCCTTGCTATCCCAGGATTCATTGCAAGACCAAGAAATCCAGCTGCTCCATGATCAGAGGAAAAAGATACACGGCGCCAAACAGTGGTGAATATTGGAAGTTCAGTTTACTATAACACAAGGATGTGAATAGTTCTGTCTGAAACGAATGAAAATAGTTGTTTTAATGGTTATTGAGTCAGATATGTGGCGGTAATGTTTGGTTTACTTATGTGTGAATGGATTTGGCTGTAATCTAAGGACGGATTCTAATATATCTGCAGCGTGGGGACTATAAATCTGATAGGATTTTTATTTTTTTATTGCTATTTTGCAAAATTTGCTGAACTAAGTGTTTTTTGTTGTTGAATATAAGATATTTTGCAGATATATTTTTTATACATACATTGTTTGGATTTACTTATATCTTTCTACTCCTTTTATAGAATAGAAAAAAATACAAAATACCTTTATTGCCCCACAATGAGGAAATTTACAGCAGCAAAAATATTATTGAAGAAATTATTACACAAATAAGGACCTTAGAAAAATGTATAAGAATAACATAATAGGGAAGAGTTAAAATATGAACAATAAAATATTGTGCTGTAAAGTGTTTTAATAATATAAAACTGTGCACCTGGTGAATAAATAACCAATATCCAGCTATGGACAGTTTTACAGCAATGGATATTTGAAAAACAGCAGCAAAATCACAGATGTGCAAAATGACAGCAGCATGTTATTTATTTAAGGTTTTAATCATTACATCCACTCTTTATTTCATGTTTGTTTCCTTTACAAAAAAAAAAAAAATAATAATAATAATTTAAGAAACAGTTTACGGCCTTAGAAGGATCCAGTCCAGTAGACCGGGTCCTTGGAGGACGCAGCCCATGAATTCGAACGCATCCCCTGTCCCAGCTCTGAGGCAGGGTAGTGGAAGCAGCATTCTGTGGGGCCACTATTGTCCTGTAGATGTGTTACTAGAATTCTAAATAAAAAAGTCCTTTGCTACAAATGAGTAGAATGAAAATACTATTCAAATGATGACTGGAGCTGTGCACAGGCTGTGTTCTCTTTCGGTTTGAATTATCCACAAAACTCTGCAAGACTCTGCATCACAACAGACTCTGCACGTCTAAGCATGAGCAAGACCAGATCAGACCATCATGTCGTCTTGACTGTTTTTAATTAGTTTTGCTCTAATCCAAATCCTACGAATATGTCTAAAAATCTAAGAATATGTATTTTTGTTCTTTTTTGTTTTTGTTTTACTGTTTTCAAGGATGCACTTTATAAAAATGAAATTGTCTGGAGACAGTTCTTGACGAAATTTCTTTCTGTTTACATTCGTGTACACAAAATGACAAAATAAATCTGTCTAAGTCTAAATAAAATCATTAGCATCCCGCTAGTTACACCAACAAAACACGAGGAATACATGTGAAGCTCACCGGACGATAAACAGTCAAAGTGCGCGTTACATTTCCATCCTTCGACCGATGTGTGAATGCAAAACCTGTCCTGGTTAATGCTTACTCGTTATTTTGTCTATAGCCTTAAAAATACATAAACAACCCTGCAAGAGAAACAACATGGAAGTCTTCTTCTCCTCCTTGTAGTGTTTTTCTGGCGCTACAGGCAAGTCTTCCTTGTAATCTTCTTCTGTGAAAACACTTGTTTAACAAAAACACGCGCCCCATCTGGTGGTAGCAGCGGGAAGTGTGAAAACAATCATGGGCCATGTCTCCATTCTCACCCCCAGCATGTTCTAATAAGAAAAAGAGAAATACTAAATCACTAATTGTTTTTACTTACATTATCAATGACGAGGATTTAGTTTTTTGTAATACTCGTCGTATTAGTTTATTCCACTAAATAACTCAGAGGCAACTTATTGACTTTGTGGTTAGTTGTAATATAATCCACTCATTTCTCTTATTACTTGATTTACTTTAAAATGTCAATTGCTCAATCCACATTAACGATTAAAGGATTGTATCCATTTCTGTTAGATAAATTCTATTTATATATTTATAATGCTCAGTAATTTTGTTTATTATTTAAATAATTTATGTTTCTCCGTATTTTATAAAGACAGTACTTCCTCCTCCAAAGTTTTACTTCTGATATTTGATTAGGAAATTCTTGATTGCATTTAAATGTGTTAAAGGGCTGAAAGCGCGACAACACAGCAAGAACACAAAATGTTAACAAAGAATGAAAACATTAAAAAATTTTATTTAAATGGGAAATTAATCCAATAAGTAAATAACAAAACAAATATTTATATTGATCAGTTCAATGTTACATAATGCAAATGGACAAATAAATGCAGAAATAGTTAGATAAAGATATATTTTAATTGAATGCCAAATAATTGTTGTCTGCTATGCTGCAGTACATTATTACATAAAGAAGTCCTTTGTTAAACTGAGTCTAATATCTAGTTTGTTAATATGATCAGCAATGCAATTGCAGAGTGATCATGTCTATAGAACTTATAGGCTATGTTCACATTGCAGGCCTTAATGTTTAATTCTGTTTTTTGTATGTGTTTGTGTGTGTGTGAAATCTGATTGTTTTGCATGATCGTTCACATTTCCAAATATATGCAACAACGCGACTTGTGTGTGATCTCCAATGTAAACTGCATTTTTCAGGTTTACCTGCATTTGGGTCACTTCAGTCTGCAATGTGAACATAGCCTTAGTCCTGCTCACAGACTTTTAGTGGGCAAAGATGATCCATAAAATAGAGTTAAGGGCAAAAGAGCCATGATTCATACATAAGATATAAGAATAAATATATATAATATATATAATATAAGAATAAAATAACATAAGGATCACATTATATATAAATCACATTTACATTTTACAATGCTGCTCAGTACCAGATTACAATTATTGCACATGACTGTGTTATTGCACACTGAAAATAAGGAAATAAAATAAATAATAGTAATAAAATGAAGTGACTGTCAGAGAGATGAGTTATACAGATTGGTGGCCACGGGCAGGAATTAATTCCTATTTCTTTTATTATTATATTCTATTACTTTTACCCTACAAAGAACATTTAAATGCACTAAACCATTTGCACTACCATCCATTTGCATTGAACTAAAACCTTCAAATTAGTTCAATATTCAGCAAGTTAAAGTTGATTACAATTGATTCTGTGCCTGCTTAACACAGTCCACCGAGCAGAGCAGTCGACCGCTCCAAGATGGCACCACCCATAGGTGAAAGCCGTCGATGCGTGGTCCACTCATGCATATAAATATATATATATATATATATATATATATATATATATATATATATATATATATATATATATATATATATATATATATATATATATATATATATATATATATATATATATATATCAGTTCCAATAAGAGGAGATAGAGGCTACTGACATCAAGACAAGAAAGCTCCTCACAATGCATGGAGGGTTCCACCCCAAATCCAGCACCCTGAGACTGAGACCCTGAGACTGTACACCAAGCGTAGCGAGGGAGGCCGAGGGCTAGTGAGTGTCAAGACCACTGTCCAGGATGAAACAACTAAGATCCAGGAGTACATCAGAAAGATGTCCCCCAAAGACAAATGGCTTGGTGAGTACCTCAGGCAGGAGAAAACCGAAAGTGAGGACAAGAAAGAAGAAGGAGAACCATCATGGAGGGACAAGCCGCTGCACGGCGTATACCACAGACAAATTGAAGAAGTGGCTGATATAAAAAAATCCTACCAGTGGCTGGAAAAGGCTGGACTGAAGGACAGCACAGAGGCACTAATCATGGCAGCACAAGAACAGGCACTCAGTACAAGATCAATAGAGGCCGGGGTCTACCACACCAGGCAGGACCCCCGATGCAGACTGTGCAAAGATGCCTCTGAAACAATACAGCACATAACAGCGGGGTGTAAAATGCAGGCAGGAAGTGCATACATGGAACGCCACAACCAGGTAGCTGTCATAGTGTACAGGAACATCTGCCATGAGTATGGGCTGGAAGTCCCAAGGTCAAAATGGAAGACACCTCCTAAGGTAGTTGAGAATGACCGAGCTAAGATCCTATGGGACTTCAAGATCCAGACTGACAAACAGGTGATGGCTAACCAACCAGACATCGTGTTGATCGACAAACAGCAAAAGAAGGCAGTAGTGATAGATGTGGCAATCCCAAGCGACAGCAACATCAAGAAGAAAGAACACGAGAAGCTTGAGAAATACCAAGGACTGAAGGAGGAGCTAGAAAAGATGTGGAAAGTGAGAGCAGCAGTGGTGCCAGTGGTAATTGGAGCACTGGGGGCTGTGACCCCCAAACTGGGAGAGTGGCTACAGCAGATTCCAGGTAAAACATCAGAGGTCTCTGTCCAGAAGAGCGCAGTCCTAGGAACAGCTAAGATACTGCGCAGAACCCTCAAACTCCCAGGCCTCTGGTAGAGGACCCGAGCTTGAGGATGACACATACCACCCCACGAGGGGTGAGAAAACAGTTTTTGTCTTATATATAAATATACATATATATATATATATATATATATATATATATATATATATATATATATATATATATATATATATATATATATATATATATATATATATATAAATATCTATATATATATATATATACATATATATGCCTCTAAATGTAAACATGGGTTCAGTTCAATTCAACAATACCTCATTAGTCCCAAAGAAAAAGTTAATGCTAAACTTGTATATTATGAGTATCTTTAATGATAAGTTGTGGATGCTGGTTGCCAATGAAGGATCTCCTGTAGACAGTCTGATGCAATCATTTAAGATATGCATTTATATATATATATATATATATATATATATATATATATATATATATATATATATATATATATATATATATATATATATATATATATATATATATATATATATATATATATATATATATATATATATATATATATATATATATATATATATATATATATCAGTTCCAATAAGAGGAGATAGAGGCTACTGACATCAAGACAAGAAAGCTCCTCACAATGCATGGAGGGTTCCACCCCAAATCCAGCACCCTGAGACTGAGACCCTGAGACTGTACACCAAGCGTAGCGAGGGAGGCCGAGGGCTAGTGAGTGTCAAGACCACTGTCCAGGATGAAACAACTAAGATCCAGGAGTACATCAGAAAGATGTCCCCCAAAGACAAATGGCTTGGTGAGTACCTCAGGCAGGAGAAAACCGAAAGTGAGGACAAGAAAGAAGAAGGAGAACCATCATGGAGGGACAAGCCGCTGCACGGCGTATACCACAGACAAATTGAAGAAGTGGCTGATATAAAAAAATCCTACCAGTGGCTGGAAAAGGCTGGACTGAAGGACAGCACAGAGGCACTAATCATGGCAGCACAAGAACAGGCACTCAGTACAAGATCAATAGAGGCCGGGGTCTACCACACCAGGCAGGACCCCCGATGCAGACTGTGCAAAGATGCCTCTGAAACAATACAGCACATAACAGCGGGGTGTAAAATGCAGGCAGGAAGTGCATACATGGAACGCCACAACCAGGTAGCTGTCATAGTGTACAGGAACATCTGCCATGAGTATGGGCTGGAAGTCCCAAGGTCAAAATGGAAGACACCTCCTAAGGTAGTTGAGAATGACCGAGCTAAGATCCTATGGGACTTCAAGATCCAGACTGACAAACAGGTGATGGCTAACCAACCAGACATCGTGTTGATCGACAAACAGCAAAAGAAGGCAGTAGTGATAGATGTGGCAATCCCAAGCGACAGCAACATCAAGAAGAAAGAACACGAGAAGCTTGAGAAATACCAAGGACTGAAGGAGGAGCTAGAAAAGATGTGGAAAGTGAGAGCAGCAGTGGTGCCAGTGGTAATTGGAGCACTGGGGGCTGTGACCCCCAAACTGGGAGAGTGGCTACAGCAGATTCCAGGTAAAACATCAGAGGTCTCTGTCCAGAAGAGCGCAGTCCTAGGAACAGCTAAGATACTGCGCAGAACCCTCAAACTCCCAGGCCTCTGGTAGAGGACCCGAGCTTGAGGATGACACATACCACCCCACGAGGGGTGAGAAAACAGTTTTTGTCTTATATATAAATATACATATATATATATATATATATATATATATATATATATATATATATATATATATATATATATATATATATATATATATATATATATATATATATATATATATATATATATATATATAAATATCTATATATATATATATATACATATATATGCCTCTAAATGTAAACATGGGTTCAGTTCAATTCAACAATACCTCATTAGTCCCAAAGAAAAAGTTAATGCTAAACTTGTATATTATGAGTATCTTTAATGATAAGTTGTGGATGCTGGTTGCCAATGAAGGATCTCCTGTAGACAGTCTGATGCAATCATTTAAGATATGCATTTATATATATATATATATATATATATATATATATATATATATATATATATATATATATATATATATATATATATATATATATATATATATATATGTGTGTGTGTGTGTGTGTGTGTGTGTGTGTGTGTGTGTGTGTGTGTGTGTGTGTGTGTGTGTGTGTGTGTGTGTGTGTGTGTAATTTTTTTTACATACTTTTA